TTCCGATTCGTCTAGGTGAATGTTCTAAAACAATTATGCAGGCTCTAAAACTAGCTAGATATGGGGAGAATCCAATTAAAGAGCCCTACTAAAACCTGCTTGGGGAAAAAAAAACCCACTTGCCTCATTCTCGTTTCAGCCAACATGTATAAAGCATCTTATTCTATCCTTAGGACTGTGCTGAGTTCACTAGAAAATACAAGGAAACACAATGGACTCTGCTTGACCTTGAGAAACAACACCGCCTGGAGGAAAAACGCAGAGAGATGAGGAGAGATGCTAGAATTCTGGCTTTGCCACTGAGTGGCCACATGACTGTGAGTCCTAGCTTTTTCCAGTGGTAAAATGGGCTTAACATTTTACCAGGTGTCCTAGAACAATCTGAAAATAAACTATGATAAAAGAGAAAAATACTCTGGAACTTCTAAAAAATCACTATATGTAAGATACAATAAATCATATTCACGACACAACTGGTAAATAGCAGGAAACATAGAAGTATACTAAGTATCATAATATAATACAGAATTTCTTAAAGTTAATTAAACACAACTCTAACACAGTTCAACATCTGTGAGATGTTTGTAGATGTTCCTGAAAAAAAAAAAAAAATAGAGCCCAATGGTCAAGTAAGTATAGGGGGCACAGGGCTTAATGATTTTTCTATTATTAGTACTACCATTAAGAGTAGCTAACATTTAGTTAGCCAGTCATAGTACTGAGCCTTTTCTATGCAACATCTCATTTAACCTCACAACCTTATTAGATGTTATTATCTCCATTTTACACATCGGCAAACTGAGGCAGAAGACATTATGTAACTTTCCCCAGGTCACACAGCTAGAGGTAGATGAAGGATACACTTAACCATAACACATATTGTTCTCTACTTTCTCAAGGTTTCTGAAATTCACTGTGAATCTCTTAGAGGGGGACAGAATATGTGTCTTTCCTGAATTTGGGGATTTTTTGGAGCAACATGAAGCATTTTGGGAAATGAGCAATAATGAAAGTGCATTCATTTTCTTTTCCTAAATTATTCTTCTTCCTAGGCATAAGCTCTACTTTAGTCTAAGGTATTTCCTTTATAATCCATTCTGCCCAAATTAGTAATCCAAGAAATACCAACTTAAAATTACCTGCCTAGGTCATTATCACAATACAGAGACTAACTCAGCAGGGGACTATGCACAGCACCCACAATACCACTTGGTTTAAATGTTTGGGCCCAGAATTTCATACTGTGTAACTGGGGGGATATCCAGACTTAAAGGGCAAAAATGTGATCAATTATTAAATAATATATATTGCAGTTACACATGATGTCATATACCTTGAAATTCACAACATCCCATCAAGTAAAGCAAATAAGAAAGAAATATTAAACTTTTGCTTTGCATTTATTAGCTTTATTATACTTTATAAGAAAAAAATTAAATAGGCCATTAGGCAGTTTTGTTACCAATGAGAGGATTTTCCAATATTTTCTTCATCTAGTTTATGTAGCATAGCCTGTAATATAATCATTTTGTTTGAAAAAAATCACAATTTTTATAGTCAACACCACTAAGGTAAACTTAGTGTAGGATAAAGTCAATCATAACACATCAGACAGTTTTATAGAGACTTTAGTAAAGTGGATTCTCACTTCTTGACGATTATACCACTTTTTGTGAGTGTGATGAACTAAAAGCCACAGATATAAGAACAATACAACTGAAGGCCAGGCAGAAATGGAGACCAATGATGAATGACAAGTGGTTATGCAATTTGGTTATCTTTACGTTCTGTCCTCTTAAGAATCACCTAAACAATAAGATCAATGAAATGTCTTCTTTGTATAAGAAATATACTATGTAAAATAAAGCCCTAAAATGATCGTGTTACTGCCACTCACCCTCTAAAAACAACCACTGTCAAAAACATATTAAATCTTACAACATGCGGGGCACCTGGGTTGCTCAGTCAGTTGAGTGTCCGACTCTTGAATTCAGTTCAGGTCAAGATCTCACAGTGGTGGGATCGAGCCCCAGGTTGGGCTCAGCGCTCAGTGGAGAGTCTGCATGGGGATTCTCTCTCTCCCTCTCTCTCTGCCCCTCCCCCTGCTTGTGTGTGAGCACAGGTGCACACTCTTTCTCTCAAATAAATAAATCTTTTTTTAAAAAATAAAAAGTTAAAAATCTTCCAACAATCATATTGAGCTCTAGCAATGGTAGATAAACGAAATCGAGATAAGTTGCATGTCAACACAGCATTCCAGCAGTTAAAGAACTTGTGCTAAAGATGTGTAAGATAATGTGGCCCTGATGAAAGGAGAACTTCTAGCCATGCTTCTTAGCTAAAAACAAGAACAAGGCAAACAGGGAGTTACTGTTTAATGGGCAGAGGTTTCAGATTTGCAAGATGAAAAGAGTTCTGGAGATGGATGGTGTTGAAGGTTGCACAACAGTATGAATGTGCCTAATGCCACTGAACTGAAGGCCTAAAAATAGTGAAGATATTAAATTTTATGTTAAATGTTTCTCACCATAATTAAACAAATAATAAAACATTAACATGATTTAAGGCACCTGGGTGGTGCAGTTGGTTAAGTGTCTGACTCTTAGTTTTGGCTCAGGTCATGATTTCAGGGTCGTGAGATTGAGCCCTGCAGTGGGCTCCACACTCAGTGCAGAGTCTGCTTAAGACTCTCTCTCCCTCTACCCCACCCCCCCCAAAATAAATAAACCTTTAAAAAAACACAGAAAAAACATTAACATGATTTTATGTTGTTAAGTTTTCCTTGGTAGATGGGCATCTTATTTCTATTTCTCTGCAACCACCTCCCCTTTTTGTTATTAACCTATGTTTTAAAAGAAAAGATTAAAATCTTAACATCTGGGATATTATTTCTAATAAAAATCATCTGCTGGAGTTTGGTGGTCTTATGTTTCCCCCCTGCTAGAATAAACCAGGACAGTAAATTCACAAAAAGACTTCAATTTAAAAATACGAACATGCTTGAGAGCTAAACATCTGGTTAAACAGAACACATGAATAGGCTAGGCGTTTAAAGAAATGATTTTGGATTCCATTTGAAGTCAATAAAAGGAATCCAGAGAGTTGAAGAGTTGCTAGAAATCTTTCCTGTTTTTATTATATCTGGCTATAAGCATAAAAGCATTAGTAAAAGCAAGGTTGAGGCTTTGAAAATTGCTCCCTCACAGGGAATTCAAGAGAAGCAAATCAGAGTGTGCAGGTTCCTTCTTCTTTCCTTCCTAAGGGCACCTGAACCCAAGAACCTTCAGAACAGGGTAAAAATTCAAGTCAGATAAGAGTAAGAAGGAGAGTAAGATGAAGAAATGTTTTTTATGCAGCACTGGGGCTGCTTGGGAAGGAATGCTAGTATGATCCAGGGTAGACAAGAGTGACTCAAACCCATCCGATGTAGTAAGCATGGAAACATTTTAAGGGCATGGCCTAAGGATCATGTAAGCAATATGCTGTTATTTAATTCTCTGAATTATCACAGTGGAAGCACTTAACTTTCAGACCAACTACTCACAGTACCCAGACATCTGTAGGAAAAAATAATTGAAATATATGAACTTAAGTTTTTTGTTTTTTTTTTAAGGTTTTATTTATTTATTTGACAGAGAGAGACACAGCAAGAGAGGGAACACAAGCAGAGGGAGTGGGAGAGAGAGAAGCAGGCTTCCCATGGAGCAGGGAGCCCTATGCGGGGCTGGAGCCCTATGCGGGGCTGGAGCCCTATGCGGGGCTGGATCCCAGGACCCTGGGATCACGACCCGAGCTGAAGGCAGACACTTAACGACTGAGCCACCCAGGCGCCCCTGAACGTAAGTTCTTAAAGGACTAGACTCAGGAGAACAGACTCACATCCTGGCTCTACCAGCAAAAAAGATTGAAGCCCTGAGTGGGTGAATAGGTCAGCTGACTGAGAAGAAGCCTCTAACCCCGAGAAACCTAATTCTATGCCAAGCCTGCATCTGTGTGTGGAAGATGTTCTGGGATTTTAGGATGTGACCCTTCATGGTCATAGGGCAATAGGGCAAGTTTTATCTACAGTCATGTGGTTAGCAAGCACTTAAACTTCTAAGAGCATTAGTAACCAATTAGAAATTGTTTCACAACTTTGAAGATACGTATTAATATCAACATTAAAACATCTAAGGTAAAAACACAATCATAATGTGATGCAGAGTTGGTGTATATATGGAAAACAGCTCTCTGGAGGAAAGCTTTATTATTCTCTCAAGGCTTTCTTACAGAGTATGGATTTTTTAATTCCTAGTGGAATATTTTTCATACACCATTGCAGACTATTAAGTACCAGATATTACATTATGTAGTTTAAACTTTGCACTACAGCATGAGAAAGACTTCCCTGTCGAGAGAACTATTTTTTACGGTTAGCATTTTTTAATATGAAAATGAACACTCCTTTAGGGTAAGATCACTGCTACTGGAATTTGGGAGAATTTTATAACTTAACATATTCATCAATGTGTAGAAATTCTCTCAGGGAACTCGGGTGAGGAGAGAAGGAAATACAAGAGGAAGAAGGCTTGTTAATAACTTATGGTGTCGACACAGGGCAAAGCAATGGTATTTATAAGGGCTGTCTTCCACTGGGCACAGCTGTAAAAGGGCAGGGGACTAGCATAGGGTGCCAGCAAGTTTTTAAAAAAAAAAAATGGTGTGAAAGAGTGAAGGAAAAAAATGCATTAAACTTCAGGCCAGTTAAAGGTACGCTTGCTAATGGTGGACTATTAACTGCTCACCCAGGAGAGATGCAGACGCAGAAATATTAAAAAGGCAATATAAATGCACTTTTCCAAGCAATTCCTGAGAAAATAGATGCCTTGCAGAATTTTGGAGTCAAAAGTGGAAATAAAATCTAAGTGCTGGTGGTCATTTAAAAATCTTTGCCATGGAGAACTTGAGTACTCATATTTGGCTAAAGTGGATAGAAAGTTTAAATGAAATTGACTACTCACTTGTAGACTGTGCCCCCGTTGCCATGGCCAAGAGTGTCTCGATACCGTATGTCTTGTTCATTCATCTCCACGAGAAAGAAAGAAAAACAAAAAGGGTGTCATGCTGTGGATGGAAATGTCAAGGAAAAGCAACTCTGGGCCATAAACAACAAGCAGTCTGGGTCATTTCAAGTTCAGCTGCAAGAATGAGAAGATCAATACAACATTTGCTGTCCAATTTATAAAAGACGATACCAAGGGACAAAGTGATGGAAAGTTTAATGACAATTTGTTTGCCTGGGTCATTTCATTAAAGTTTGATAAAAGGTGTCAAAATGGAATGATATAACATAGCTCAAAAGGGTCAGGTCAGAGATACTGATAAGAACACAGTCTCTGGTACTACACATAACCAATGCCAAATAGCACTGCACATAACCAAAGTCAAACTTGGGAAGACAACACACACACACACATGCCCGGTAATCTAATGAACAATCTGTAAATAAATCAGTCAGGTGATCCCATAGCTAACATTAAACAAACTAACTGAATAATGTTAATGATCTTCCTAAAGTAGATATAGCTTTTCTCTGGAAACAGTAAATTAGTATACAGCGGTAACTGGGTAGAAATAATATTATGCTGGTGGAAAAGTGCCAAATGAGTGCACTTTCAAATACACACACAAACATTGTAATGCATAAAGGGAAAACATATAAGCATGTGATTCCTATAAACTAAAGTCATTTTCATAATTTAATGTTAAATAGCATGCACATTTTCCCCAGTTCTGTAAAACCACAAATTACACCACAAATACTACTCTCGTTTGTATCATGAATAGGAGTCAATTATTTTAGTGCCCACAAAATAATGTTTTAGAGTTTTAAAGAACTCCCTAAATTATTTATCAAATGACTTAAAGACCAGTCAGATTACATTTGATGCATTCAGTAATTTTCTACACACAGGTCCAGTTGCTTAAAAATTAACTGCCAACTTTATTCACTAAATGGATTCAATAAAAGTGTTATTTTCCATATAGCTAAAGCTTGGGAAAAGCCATAGTAAGCCGTGGGAAAAAAAAAATCAATTTCCAGGGAATTGCATTGCCTTGCATGGGCAGAAAATGGATGGAGTTTTTAATTCAATATCACCTGGAAAAAAATAGTTTGCTTTCAGACCATTATAGTAAAGCTTTAAATATTTTGCTCTAAACATCCACCAATTGAATAAAGCAGGCCTCCATTTATCAAGGGAAATATTTTTCTTCTATACATTTCTGAGACTGAGGCTTCAGAGAGCTGTGATAATTAGGAGTACAGCGCAGGTACCAGAAACAGCTTCCTTTCCAAGCCGTTCTGCCAAGCCCTAAAAGAATATTGACAGATTAATGTGTAAAGGCCAATTCAACACCCAATTTAATTGTAGTACAACCTGATTGATGCAATTTGCAATCAGCTAATTACTATATTTAGGGTCAGAGGCAAAACGATAGACAAGTCAGAAAAACTGGCAACTATTTTCCTCTTTGAGGGAAATTTTGTTCTTCATTACCTTTATATTACTAATGCAGAAAAAAGAAACCATATTTTACCCTATATAAAAGACGGAACATGAAGAAAACTTCATTATTCTGCACCAAATGATAAATTTTAAAACAGCGGGAAGAAGAGCAGCATACAAAATAACTTGAGATACTGAGGTAGCAGAGCTGTTACTGGGTTTACTTCGATCAATGGGTATGAAGGGCACACACGTAAACTGCAGTATCTATTTGCCAGTACGAATAGGCTAATTCCTTCAGAACATTTCTCAAGGTAGTCTGAATAGCACTCTTAACCTCATTTGTACCATTAGCTTGCCTAACAAGCTGCACCCTTATCAGGGCCCAAAGTAAATTTCTAGGAGAACAAACCTCAAAGAGTATATATAGGATTCAGGCTCTAGAAGGACCACACTCTGAGACTGCAACCCTTCCACCACACCATCAGGGCCTTCCAGACAAAAGAACCAGTAGTTTCCTCTCAGAAAAGCAGACACACCGAGACATTGTTATTACACATTCCAATAGCACACTGGGATGGACCTAGGCCTTTGCAGGAAGTTGGAGGAAGAGAAGGCCAAGGAGTAGGTATGGCATGTCTCTGAGCAGCTTCAGCCATTATAATCCTGACATTGTAGGTTTTTTTTTTTTGACCTCTAATGCCCAGGAGGTTGAGAAGTGCAGCAGCCATTCACCCCACATCCCCAGCATTCCAACCTGACCAGGGGTGGTAGGCATCCAACAGGGAACAGGTTGAGAGAGGTTGTATATTTTGTGTGTGTGTGTGTGTGTGTGTGTGTGTGTGTGTGCGCGCGCAAGTGCATCCATGTGCGTATGCTAAGCGCTGGGTAAGCAAATTCAAGGACAGAAATTTGGACTTCCTCAGACAATAAGATGGTAAGAGACTCATAAAGATAAAAGTGGTTTTGGAGTGAAAATTCTAAAACCATCTCACTTAAAAAGACAGTATCCATAAAAAGGTAGTTAAAGTGTTTCTACAATGTTTTAAAGTTTTATAGACCTTCGTCTGGCCTATGATGTGACGGATAGATTTTTATATTAAAAAAATCAGGTTCTTTTCCTTTTTGCTCATTTGGATTTTCTAATTTTTATATAGTATGCAAATATTATTCACGTAAAAAAACATTTAAAAGGAAAACCATCAGAGCCAAGCTCTTGAATGGATTACAAACAACCTTTTGAGAATCTCAAATCTCTTATCAAAATGGGTTACTTTAATTGATTTTAACTATGAAAAAATCACTAACAGGATCAACTAACAGGTGAAAACATTGTTGCCTTTTTTCTTTAGATAAGCATATTAATTCAACTTTTCTAAATGAAGCACAAAAACAGTGTTCATTTTGATACAAAAGTGGGATTTATATGACTACAGCATATAATATTTAAATATTACAGTTGGGATCAAGTATCACAAAAATCACAGAACTGTACAGCATTTCAAATGCATAGCCCAACTAGGTCACAAAACTAGTCAATAACAACTAGTCAAGGCTAGAACTCAGTCCTTCAGTATTCTCTGCTCAGTGCCGTATCTTAGCAGCTGATGTCCTGGCTAAGTATGGAGGGACATTCTCTCCCATCAGGCTCACTGGCCTACAGGAAGGAAAACAACCAACGGAAGGGCACTCACAAGTTAAAAGCAATTTCATTAGCTGTGGTTTTTGTTTTTAAGAAGAGAAATGTTTCAAAGATCACATAGCTCTTTATAGAGAAAAGAGGTGTAATAACATTTTTATTCAATAGAGATACTGAATTATTTTTAAATATAGCTGTTTCCTTGTTTTGACTAAAAAAAAAAAAGCAAATAAGGGGCGCCTGGGTGGCTCAGTCGTTAAGCATCTGCCTTCGGCTCAGATCATGATCCCAGGGTCCTGGGATCGAGCCCTACATCGGGCTCCTTGCTCAGCGGGAAGCCTGCTTCTCCCTCTCCCACTCCCCCTGCTTGTGTTCCCTCTCTGTGTCTCTCTGTCAAATAAATAAAATCTTTAGAAAAAAAAAAGCAAATAAAAGGCAGAATTCTAGATGTGAGAGAAGAAAAAGAAAAAGCCATTAGAGTTACAATTACATGTCAAATGAAAGACGGCAAATGACCTGGGAGAAATGACGGGCACTGGGCTCTGCTCCTGCTGAAGGAGAGTCAGGGGCTGGGAAAGAAACGTGGACTAGACAGGACAACCCAAGGGTCATGTCCATGTGGGTAGGTAGGGGAGCGGGTCATGCAGTATGGACTTCCATACAGTCTCATTTATGTTTTGGTCTTCATATGGGATGGAAGATGAACCATAAGAATCTAAGAGTTTTATATAGTGATCTTAATACAGCTTTTAAAGCTAATTTTACAGAATTCCTATTTTTCCTCCTCCTCCTTTTTTTTTTGGACCACAAAAAGTTTTCCTAAAGGCATCTGAAGTTCTCAAAATAACCAAACATGCAGCAGGATCAGAATTAGTTCTAGGATCTGTGGCTTCTCAGTACATTTAATACTTGATTTATTGGGAATAGGAAAACAGTGTTACGAAATCTAAAACACAAAAAGAGGGAAAACAACTTCAGAGATGCAAAGGTCAAAGTTGTTCATCCTTGGAGTAACTGTGTACTTTTTTAATCCTTTAAATTGACCCACTGGGCCATTTCTTTTTTTTAATTTTTTTATTGTTATGTTAATCACCATATGGGCCATTTCTAATCAGTTTCAAATCAAGGGCCAATGTTAAAGAGAAGATACGTACTAAAACTGAAGTGGGAAAAACACATCACAAAAACACACCAGTGGCACTAATTTATAGCTCTCAATGAAACATGCCTAAAATATCTTATGATTTGGCTTTTTTTAAGCTAGAAAAAAAGGAATCTTCCATTATTAAGTGGTAAAAGAAAAACAATGTCTCCATTCCAAGGACTAAACGTTAAACTTTAAAACGTGCTTGATTTAATATAATATTAATGAAATTAATGGGAAAAATGAAATGGAATTCAATTATGGATCAGCAAAGAAAATATTCTTTGTTTATTGTCTGCCTGTGTTAAGAAGAATCAGTACCTATCGCTTATAAATCATTAAAATAAAAATGCTCAATTAATCCTTATTTTATATGTAAAGGTCTGACAGAAACTAGTCCTATCACTAGACCTTTGCTTCACAAATCGAAGCAATAATGGTTTCAGAAAGCAGTCACACTCTATGAGCAGACAATTGGAGAGATTTAGTAAATCCCACTTTATAGAGCGGAGACTAATCGGAAAACACAAGCCAGTCAAATGTTTCTTATGAACTGTTGACACTATATCAATGCTGAATCAATTGGTGGCATTTACTCTGAGTGACAGAAAAGAAATAAATATTTATATCACATAACCTATATCAATGAACCCAGGCAGAAAGCTATTTCTAACCTGTCAATATTTGATTATCTTGAAGAATCATGTCCCTTTCTTTTAATGATTAATATGAATTCCTTATTAAATCTAAGTGGAGGCTAGTGGAAAGGCAAATCATTATTAATGCTTGAGAGCATAAACCACTAAAATAAAAAACTATGCTCAAGTGTTAAAGTATCGTTAAATGTGACTTACATCTTCCATATCAAGTGGTGTCCGTGTTCAGCCCAGAAATTTATTGACACCACATGTGCATGTTACCTCACTGCAGGGTGATCTCGCTCACTCTTTAGTTACCCTATAGCACAACGGAACTGAGAAATTAGTACAAGGAGGAGGTATTATGAGGACTTCCAAAGGTGGGTTTTTCTGTTTTGTTTGTTCTTGTGAATGAAAGTAAATACAATAAAGGCTGCTCCTTGAAAGAAAGAAAACGTCACACTGTTTAACGTAGGGGTTATCACATTCCCAAGGGAAAGCAATAAACAATCTTTAAGTGTCAAAAATCATTGTGACAATCTTCCACCACCGAGAACCTCATAACTGAGACCACTAGGATATCTGTGGTACTAGGTCTGTTGTCAAAACATTAGGAACATTTCAGAACGCTTATTTTCTTACACTGGAAATAAACTGTTTTTCATCTTTGAAAGAGGAATCTATGACAGGTTATTTTCCATTGCCTGGGCTGAACAAATGTAGTTAAAGCTTCTTAATTTATGTCAATTTTGAAATATATTTTCCAGCTGAAGAATGCAAGTGACTCATACATAAGTTACAATTAGTAACTAGAATGCAAGCACGCTGAAGATACATAAACATTCCAGCCTCAGTGTTTCTGCTTTTCGTCAGGTTTTGTTTCATACTGGCTCTGAACATGTCCAGGGCACTAGGGGCATTTGTGGACCTCAATCCAAAGAAACTTCTGGCTGCTTAAAGTCAAAAGTATTAGGTAAACAGTCTCTAAAATTTTGAGGCCGTCAAGATTACACATACAATAGCAGGTTCTCATTAGCTATAAACAGAATATCTAAGGACTAGAATTCACACACTCTGGATGACGATCAGGTATCAGAACCAGATCAACTTATTTTTTCCAACTGTATTCAAGCGATTGTGTGCTAAAGAAGCAGGGCTTCAAGAAGCACTACCCACCAGTCACCATTGTAAGGCATGCACATCTATTGGGCCACAAAGTTACAGGTGATATTAGAGGACAAGCACGAGGACCCAGCTTTGTCTTCTTGACGGGCTCCACTACAAGTACTTGATTCATGAAATGCCAATGAGCCTTGGAGAGGTCAGCGTGTGAAGGCACTGAATAAGCATCTGAGATAATTAAGATTTCAGCCTTCGAAACATGGACGGGAAGTGAACAGCAGTTAAGAAAATCAATAAGAGTCTTTTATTTGCAGTGACACAGATGTCTCAGTCAATAGAGCCTAATAGGCAGGCTTGATCGCAACGGACAGGCGCCTGCCTCCAAGGCTATCAAAGGGCTTCCTCTATAACAAACATTAAAACGCATTTATGTTGCTATTGAAGAATCGAGGACCCCATAGGTAGCTTAATTTGCCAGTGTATGTTTAAAAGCACTATACTATTTCAGATGTGTCCATTTACTTGAATCAAAATTAGTGAGAAATACCTGGCCTGCAGGCCCGTCTTGGTCATTTGGCTTTAGAGGGCCAGTCGACCGGGCAAACCAAACCAAGGGCTTCTCAAGCCAAGGAATTTTAAATGCCAAAGGTCGGCTGTTACTCTGTTTCCCTAAAAAGCCAGCCTTCCTTTTGGGACAAAAGAAGGAGCCGAGGTAAGAAAGGAACAGTTTTTCCTCTTCTCCTCAAAGATAATGAAAGCGGCAGACACCTCCCGACGCAGGGCCATTTCGACAACCCATGGGTTGACACACTTGTTCAGAACTGATTAACTTTTTTTAGACTGAGATGGCAGCAGGGTGTGTGCATGGTACTTCAATCTGCTGGGAGTGAAACCCATTAGCACAGTTTGAAAAACGTGCTGCAAATTGTTCTGCCAATCAAATTAAGCCACTGTAATTCATTTATGACAGGGACACGTTTGCGGGCTCTTTATCTGTTTATTAAGTTTATGGATACAAAAACTGGACAGTAACAAGTTACTGCTACGTGAAAATCTTAATATGTAATGACACCTACCTGGCCATTGGCTAATATTTTTTTCAGTTCGGCAGAAGACTTCTTTAAGCTGAAAAGGGAAGACATGATTTTTAATGGCAAGATCACGGACACCTTGGAACACCATTCAGAAATTCGCACTAAAATACGCCTTTGTTTTAGGTGTAGACATGGACTACACTCTTTACAACCTTCTTTCTACATAAAATTTTTACCAAAGTAACTGGCCTAATGGAAAAAGTATTAATAAAATCCTGAAACCCTAAAGCAATAAAGAAGCCCACAGTCACCATGATGCAGACTACCTTACCGATTACTTCAGTGACCTTTTTTGGCTATTAGTCCTGCTGCCTTTGGGTAGCCTTTCAGTGGCTATTTTATGTGGACTCCGTCATCTGCTAAATACAAAGTACTTAATGATGCATTCTTTGGATGTTTTCAGAAACAAGAAAATAGAACTTCAAAAGATAAAACAGATAGTTTAAGTCCTGATCTTTCACTACAGTTAGGAGTTATAATTCAGCTTGCTGAGAAGCAAATGTGCAGCAGAAATCAATTCTGGGACTCACTAGCTGTGTGAACTGGGACAAGTCTGTTACTCATCCTCTCTGAACTGCAATGTAAAATGGGGGAATATCAACTTTATAGGGTAATCAAGAAAATTAAATATTACAAAAAGCTCATGCACATAGTAGATACTAAATAAATTTCAGCAGCCTTCTCTTTCCTTTTCTGTCCTATAAGTGGGAGAGCTGGCTTCCACAGTTATTTAAGAAATATGAAAATGTTCTTCTCTGGACATATATGGCTATGTAAACACCTATGGAAAAGTGGCCAGAGGATCCTCTGAAGCCCTTCTAGCTTTAAAATGAGTTAGACCCAAAGATATCCACCCAGTTAGTAGAGTGGTGTTCAAAATAGCACCTCATCTCATCAATGTTCTAATTGGAAATTTAAAGCTTGTTAACTCTATTCTTTATCTACCCAAACCCTCTACCCATCTACCAAATTAGCTCTCCTCCCTTGTGTTAGTTATCTGTGTAGATGCCTTTATTCCCACCACACCCACCCCTAAGACTGGGAGATCCCCAAGAACATGGACCACATCTTGATCTCCTCTGTATATTCCCTTCCCTTCCCATCCTTGAACGTAGCCCAGTGACTTGGTGTGTGTTAAGTGTTCGGTAAATGGTGGTCGTGGTTCTGGTTGTGATTTATTATACGGCAGTCATAGGCACACATACACACACATTCATTTGGTAACTTTAGTAAGTTATAATCAAGAAAGATCTCAGACTTCAAGTTTGACCATACTTGCTATTTCAAGTTATGATTATTCTTCTTTCTAAATACTTCTTAAACTTCTGCTATGGTCAAATGCAGACTATGGAGCCCCAGTCCCTACTTTCTAAAGATTTTATAAAACATGCCCTCAACCAAGGATTCTAAACTTTTTTTTTAAAGATTTTATTTATTTATTTGAAAGCGAGAGAGAGAGAGAGAGAGCATGAGCAGGGTGAGAGGCAGAGGGAGAAGCAGACTCCCCGCTGAGGAGGGAGCCTGACTCAGGGCTTGATCCCAGGACTCCGGGATCATGCCCCAAGCCGAAGGCAGACAACCCACTGAGCCACCCAGGCACCCCAGGATTCTAAACTTTAATAATGTCCTCCCAAGTTGAAGAATTCATGTACTAAAGTGGCAGTTAAGAATTATGTAGAACAAGGGGCTCCTGGGTGGCTCAGTTAGTTAAGCGGCTGCCTTCAGCTAGGGTTCTGATCTCAGGGTCCTGGGATAGAGCCCCATGTAGGGCTCCCTGCTTAGCACAGAGTCTGCTTCTCCCTCTCCCTCTGCCCCTCTCCCCAACTCATTCTCTCTCTCTTTCTCAAATAAATGAAATCTTAAAAAAAAAAAAGAATTTTGTAGAATGAGACTGAAGTAGAAACACATATCAAAAAATAAACTGCCAGGGCGCCTGGGTGGCTCAGTTGGTTAAGCGACTGCCTTCGGCTCAGGTCATGATCCCAGGGTCCTGGGATCGAGCCCCGCATCGGGCTCTCTGCTCGGCAGGAAGCCTGCTTCTCCCTCTCCCACTCTCCCTGCTTGTGTTCCTTCTCTCGCTGTCTCTCTCTCTGTCAATTAAATAAATAAAATCTTTTAAAAAAAATAAAAATAAAAAAATAAACTGCCAGGGCGCCTGGGTGGCTCAGATGGTTAAGCGTCTGCCTTCGGCTCAGATCATGATCCCAGACTCCTGGGATCGGGTCCCGCATCAGGCTCCCTGCTCCTTGGGAGCCTGCTTCTCCCTCTGCCTCTCTCTCTCTCTGTCTCTGCCTCTCATGAATAAATAAATAAAATCTTTAAAAAAATAAATAAATAAAAATAAACTGCCAAAATCAGTCCAGTTAAGAAAATAATAATAGCAGCTATCATTTATTGGATGATACCATGTGCCAGGCATGGTGCTAAATGCTATTACTTATTATCCTGATTTAATCCTCACAGTAACTATAGTCCTGTGGGAATAATTTATTAAGGAAACTAAGGTTTACACCTCCTCAGTCTCTCTTACATACACACACACACGCACACACAGAGTTTTTTCCTTGGAAACATTTAGACACTTGTATTCCCACAGATGACTCCCAATTTAACAGTTACGATTATTGTAAAAACAAAAATAACCAAACAATGCCCAGGCAAGATTTCTCCACAGATACTCCATAATGTCATAAAACTTGAAATAATAACATTTGATTCGTTGCATTTACAAAACACCTTTCATCCAAGAAACAAAATGTGATTCCTTAATACAGCTTCATCAATCTTCCTAACACTGGAGGTAGATAGATGAAAAGTTTAATCATCCTGATTTTACAGAAGGAGAAAGCCACAATATTTAGGAAAGGCCTTGACTTGGCAGTGGGACTTGAATTCAGTAATTATGGCCTAGCAACACCAGTCTAATAAACAATCATCCACCTAAGGCAAAGACCGATTCATGCTTTGAGAGTAACCGAGGAGAATGCTGATTTCATTCATTATGCCAATGTGTGACTACCACTTGGTCTCATTAAAAGAAAAATTCTGGGGGTGCCTGGTTGGCTCAATCAGTTAAGCGTCTGCCTTCAGCTCAGGTCATGATCCCAGAGTTCTGGGATTGAGCCCCGCGTCAGGCTCCCCACTCAGCAGGGAGTCCGCTGCTCCCTCTGCCCCTCACCCTGCTTGTGCTCTCTCTCTCTCTCAAATGAATAAATAAATAACTTTAAAAAAAAGAAAAGAAAAGAAAAATTCTAGAAATTTTCTTTGTTCCTCAGTTTATTCAATATTTTGTTTATTTGTAATGGTCACAGTGACTTGGGCTATCCAAAAATAAAAAAAAAAACAAAAATGAAAACAAAAAACCATTTTAAAATTTAAATGTGATGTTATTGTAAATCTGGTATGACACTTTTTTTTTTTAAGATTTTATTTATCTGACAGAGAGACACAGCAAGAGAGGGAACACAAGCAGGGGGAGTGGGAGAGGGAGAAGCAGGCTTCCCACTGAGCAGGGAGCCCGACGTGGGGCTCGATCCCAGGACCTGGAATCATGACCTGAGCTGAAGGCAGACGCTTAACGACTGAGCCACCCAGGCGCCCCTGGTATGACACTTTAAGGACACTGAGACATCTAAAGAAGAGGAAATGGGTGAGGGGACAAGAAAAAATGTATCAGAGAGGCTTGAATGAGTAGGAGAATTTAATTCAGAGACAAGACTTAGAGGGAATATAAATGTGTTCACCCACTCATTCATTCAAGCATTACTGACTATCTCCTATGTGCCAAGCATCACACTGGGAATTGGGAATTCAATAACGAATATGCTACAGTCACGGCCCTCAGAGTAGAGAATCTATTGGGGACAGAAGCGATTGTGACACAATGTGCTAACTGCCACAGTAAAAGCAGGTACCCGGGGATTAGGGAAATTCATAGAGTAGATACCTGGTATGGACTAGGAGGTGGGCAATCATCAGAAGAAGGTAACAGCTTGGCTCCCCCAAGATGACCAAGGCTGACCAGACTGAAGATGAAAGAGGGAACAAAGAAAAGGAAGAAAAGCAGGAAGGGCCAGGAGTAAGAGAAAACATGATCCACTGAGGGCACCATGCATTCCTCAGCAAAGTGAGGACGTCAGGTAAGAAGGGGCAGAGCGGGCAGGGGGCGCACATGTGAGAGGCTGCTGCTCACCTGCAGCCAGGGTTGCACACGGTCCTGAAGGTTCGGAGGAGCAGTGAGCAGCTGCAGAGGGGAGTGCTGGGCTCAGCATGCATGTCAGCAAGATCGCTGTGGCTGCGGTGTGGAGGAGGGACTGCATGGGGCAAGACTGGAGCGAGGACACCAGCAGGTGACTGCCACAGTCATCTACAGAGCCTGAACTGCCTCGGCAGCATCGGGGCCGCTCGCCAGGGGACTCAGGAGGGACATACGTGGGACTGACAGGTGTGGCGCTGAGGGAGGCCCAGGAAGCAGTGAGGGATGCCTGGCAAGTCAGCAACCGGGTGGGTGTGGGAGAATTTGCCAAGACAGGAAATCTACAAGAAGTACGTTTGGAGGGAAGACGATGGGTAGAGCTACCTAGAAGAAGGCACAGCTGTGCTCTGAGGGCTAAACGACATCTTTATGAGTGGAAGGGAGACCCATCTCAGCTCATGACAAAGAGCGTTCTAAGACAGTGCTCTGTGAAAATGGACAGGCTGCCATGGCCAATAAAGTGCGTTCATGCTGGATGACCATTTGGCAAAGGGTGGGGAATCAAGCACCAAAACACAGCAGGATTAGATGGGCGCTTCTCTGCCTCGTTCCCCACAGCAGAGGGTCTTTTATAAACACAGCTGACCACGGCACTCTCCTGAAAGCATCTGATCGTTCACCGATGCCAATACGCCAAGAGCAAAACTCAAACACACGGCCCTGCCGATCTGACTCTGGTCTACCTCCTTCTCTCCTGTCACTCCAATGGTCTCCTCCCCTCTCTCCACACCCCCCAAACCAGCACCCTTCCCTAGGCTCCAGCCAGACTGGCCTACTTATGAACATGCTGAGCTCCTTTTCCACCACAGGGGCTTCCCCGATGCTCTCCCCTCCCTCTGAAATGCCCTTCGCTGGCTCTTGATATGGCTGGGCCCTTCCCACGCTTCAGGCCTTGACAGAATGTCACTCTCCTCCCAAGAAGTCTTCCCTGAGCATGCTGTCCAAATCTAAACATATTCCTGCCCAGTGTTCTCTCCCTTCAAAACCTGCTTGCTTCCCTCATAACACTAATTATAAAGTGTGATTGTTTGTATATTTGTTTTGTTTTTTTTCCTGTATGTCCATTAGATAGCAAGTTCTAGAGGATAAGGACCACATTGTATTTCTAGTGCACAGGACAGCACCTACTGAATAGGTAGCACTCAATAAGTACTTTTGATTAGTTATCAACATGGGACACAGAACATGGCCAACCTAGGGTGGCATATTGAAATCTATGGTAGGTCTCTTTCAAACTGCACTCCTCCCATAACAGAAGTCACTACTGGAGGAAACCACCATCACTAGCTGGCAGGCTGTCACATCCCTAAGGAAAGATGTTGCAAGAAAAGGCTAAGAACCACTAGATCAGACAGTCTTCAAATTTCTATCCAACCCAAAAATTTTATGATACTCTGTGAATATACACAGTAATTCTTTAAAAACCAAAGTAATTTATTCATGCTATTAAAGCTAAATCTCAGAGAACTGAAAAGTTATCCTTGCCCCTTCTCTGCCTTACCATTTTTTTCAACTCTATCCTCTTTTTAAACCACAATGAAATGGGACCTAAGATACCAGAGAAGGGCTCAGGGTGAGTCTGTCTGAATAACAACTTTTCTGAAAGTAGTGGTAAAAATTAAATGCCGGGCCTTCCTTGAGCTGAGTGTAACAAGTGACCCCAGCCCAGTGCCTCCACTCTGTGAGACACGGCTCACAGGCCCAACAAGCATGAAGAGAGAAGCTGCAGAGTATCACGTGGCAGGGCCAAGCCCGAGAATGAGGACTAAGAGACCTACCCCTTGTGCCCACAGGACAGATGAGCCTCCGGTGAATAACCAGGCTAAGTGTATTTTAAGACAGAGTAAATTGCTTAAGAAGGAAACACACTTTAAAAGTCACGTGTTCACAGCAGGAAAGCTGGTGAGTAGACAGACTGACCCTATAGTAAAGTAATGGAGGAAGTGACTTTTGTGGGGGCAGACAGGAGAGTAAAAAGAGAGTCAGAAGGAAAGACTTTAAATTACCTCCAGGAAAGCCCTCTGGCAAAAGAACCAAGACTCTGGATTAAGGAGGGGCAGGGAAGGAAGAGGAGAAACCCAAACTACATCTCAGCCAATAAAGGGCAATACTGGTTATAGCCCTAAACCCAGAAAAGCCTGGACCCAGAATGGAAGATGGCTCAGTGCTGGCTTTCCAGTCACCAGTGTGAATACTCACACACAGTGTCATCTTCACGTACGGTCATGTGATGTTCACCGCGTGGATAACCTCACGGATAACCAAAATGACCCAGAATGCTATAGGCTTAAGCAGCCCACTCCTTCTACCTGAGGATGTGATAATCTGGAAGTAAGTTCTCAGGCTTGTCAGAGGAACACTTTGAAAAGGCTCTCAAATCTTAAGCACCCCATGCCAGTGTGGGGCACTGTTAGCATGAATTAACGAAGATTATCTTCCTTCTATAAGTAGCTTCAATCTTCGGTATGACCAAAGATACAGAAAGAGCAACATGGTGGGTCAATCTAAATTTCACTACTTCACTCTTCCCTTGCCTCTTTCTGGTGAACATGTCAGGGGATAACAAGACTGCCAAAAGATGGGCAAGCAAGAAAAAAATAATGAGCATTATACAATTTATGATCCAGATCAAGCATGAAAAGCACTGAAGTCAAAGGCACTGAATTTTCTGTATAATTTGGAGACTGAAGGAATACCCGTTCCACAGACCAACATTAATAATTTAAAATGTCTCATTCCATCTTCCTCAGTGAGGCCTTTTCTCTCTAGTCAACACGTAGCTATGGTTACCCAACTGGTCAAATTTCTTCTCGGCTACATACACATTCGCCTGGTCTTACAGAAACGAGGGGTCATCCCACAGGCCTCTTCCCCACCCCCAACTCTATAGAGAAGCACGCTTATGAGCACACTTCACTAGCTTGCCCTCACCTATTGCTTGGAAGTGAATCAGAGACTGCTGGGCTGCCGTGTTGAGAGGGTCCAGCCCGGGTATTCACCTACAAGGAAAGAAAGAATCTCGATCAGTCTTGTGTTCTGAGGACACAGTTCCAATTAACCTATAATTTGCCACAAATTTCTCATTTCACTATGAAGGTTAATTAGCTTGTTGCTAGATAGACCCACGGTTGGAGTCTATTCAGTATATAGGTTACAGAACTGTACAACCCGTATATTACATAATACACTTTTCCTGTCATTATTTAAATACTTAAACAGCATTGAAAAAAGGAGAGCTAAATGGGAAAATTTCAATTCACTGTCCAGAACTGAATTCAATTCATTGTTTTGTTTTGTTTCGTATACAAAACAATATGTTCAAAAAAGAACATTAAGAATACACCCAGAGGTTAGTGGTGAACCTCAAGTTTTCATATCCTTCCAGCTCTAAAGCCAAACAGAACACTAGAATGTTTATTCACTGAAAAATGAGGTCCAAATAATTAATTACAAAATGCTTGAATCTAAATACAATAGCCGCTTTTCTTTCAAATGTAAAGCTATAAGCAGAAATCCAGAGTTCAAAAGACACAGAACAATGAAAAGACATTAAATAGATATGTTTCTGGCACAAATATGTCAAAAGAAGAGGAGGGTGTTCTGTGTGCAATATGTTTATGTGCTTAATTAATCACTGAAATGAAGTCTATATTTTCATCCAAATATATCGTTGCGGACACCAGTACCTAAAATCATCCTGAAGAAACAGACCAACAAAAAATTCCAAATAATAAAAAAATATGGTACCAAAACCCTTCTATCCAAATATGTACATGTACTGAGCAAATACTACAGATGAATCCCCCTCCACATCCTGTTTAAAAAAAAAAAAAAGAATCGCTTGTCAGAGCTTGAGAAAGTGCAGTTTTATTTGACATTTCAATAAGTGGAACACAGCATTACAAATCCATCTAACTTTACTGAAACAATTATTGAAATTCGTACCTTCAGGCCATGTATGTTCCGTTCCCCAGGAGGCTTGCAGGCTGAAACAGTAATTGACTAAATTGTAGAACACATCAGGGCCATTTACAAATTTGCTCAAAATGAATCGTTTAAAAAGAAATGAGGGTGACACCAAAATTAGCAGAGAGAAATGATTGAAAAGTGGCTCCCAAGACCCAAAGTGGGAATTATGAACCAGGGTTTTTAACTTGCAGGAGTGAGCATTTATAAATGCAAAGAGCTTTCTGACACCACCTCATATAAATTCCAATTTCTGCTTAAAACATATAAAAATCAAGTTAACTGAGCTAAAATGATTAGATTCCTTTCATAATTCAAATTTCTGCAATCTTTGCTCAACTCTATTACATTGTATATCTGCTATCACTTAAACTACTTTGAAAATATCTAGGTTTTTGGGGGAGGGCGAGTAGTAGGAAAAGAGTATTTTAATGCCAGAAAGATGGTTAGAGATTCTAAACTGGAATATTCAAGTTTGAGTACCAGTTTGCACAGCAGTAAGTAGTCAAATTTATCAAAATACAGAGATATCACTAATTTTACTATATTTTTTGCAAATCTTGACATCTTCTAATATTTAAGTCTAAAGATAAAGCAGTGCCAGGAAAAATAATATTAATTTCCTGACACCACCCTGATTTACAGGGTAGTACTTTTCCAATTCAGCAAATGCTTCTTCATCAAGTGTTAAAAATACAAATGTGTCTTGCCCATTTTATAGGCTGCTTCCATCTGAAAACTGCAGTGCCCTACAGATCGTATGTTAAGGGGCTATCAATTGTGATTGATTGTTTGGGGAAGGATATATTTGATTTTTTTTCTCCTCTCTCAGATGTACGTCTATTCTTCCTCTGTTTCTGAGAACAAGAAATAAAACTGCTTAATAATGAGAAGATGTGGGTAATAATTACAAGGCATATCGGTTGCTTTAATTTTATATATTTTGAGTATATTCAAATTTATTGTTATTTCCTAGAAAATACCTCTAAACCTTAATAAAGAACTTTCGTTTTTCCTAAAATACATTAAAATTAGGACTCCAAATCTTCTTTCTGTAAAATGGAAATTAACTTTTTGAACAAAACCAAAGTCACATACATTTGATGCCTGGTCCTTGAGGGGCCATTAATACTTCCTAAGACAACACTTCAGAGCATTTCCACTTACGTACCCAGTACATTCATAAACTTCATTTAATAAGAAAGTGGCTAACCAAGGAATTAGAGACAGGCATCAACTCTTACCTCTTACCTTAACATCTGCCTCATTACTCAATTGGCTTCTCAAACCTTTATGACTGGAAATCTAAAAAGTATTAAAAAAAACCCAGTAACCTCGTATTTCCTAAAGTTATGGAGTCAGAAGTTACATAAAGCTAGTAAATTTTCATACTTATTAATATGTAACATATCTTTTAACTACAGAGAGCAAAGCCATGGGCTGGGAGTTACCATCCAAGGCAAATGTCTTACCTGGAATGAGGAGAACATCTGATGCTAGAACAACATCATTTTCTCCTACCTTTCTCACTTGTTCAGTCTAGAGATTCTTTTCAGCAGGGGGCCTGACCAAAGAAACTAAGGTCTGGGAGCCTCTAACAAACCTATTAACCCAGGCAACCTGCCCAATACAATATGTCTATATCCTTGTATAAGTTTGCATAATCTCATTTACGTATATAAAATATAGATAAGTAAACAAAAAGCAAGACTACAAAAAACTAAAAAGAGTTATACAGAGTTGCCTGAGTGGTTCAGTCAGTTGAGATTCCGACTCTTGATTTCTGCTCAGGTCATGATCTCAGGGTTGTGAGATCAAGCCCCGCATCTGGCGCCACACTCAGCAGGGAGTCTGCTCCTCTCCCTCTCCTTCTGCCCCTCCCCCCATTCACACATGGACAAGCACATTCCCGCTCTCTCTCTCTCTCTCCCTCCCTCTAAAATAAATAAATCTTTAAAATAAATAAATCTTTAAAATTAATAAATAAAATAAAAATAGTTTTACAATAACATCCAAGAAACCATAGAGACGGGGGGGCTGAGTCTCATATTTTAAAAAATTCAAATCTGGCTTGGAAGAACTTTATTTAATAATTTACTGGAACCTAATAGGTCTGTGCTAAGACTACATGTGACGATCACATCTCATATACCGTCTTCTTTTAAGTATCTTCTCCCTATAATATACTGTTCTCTACACTCCTACCAACCCCTCCAGACTACCCCCAAGCACACTCCATGAGTATTTTCATTTATATGCCCTTCCACTTTAAGCAAATTATAATTTAAACAAAATTCTTATTCAAAGTGTATACTAACCACTTATAGGCTGTTGTGGACTCTGAAGTTACTTAACCTCTCTGAACCTGCATATTCTCATCTATACAATGGAATCAATAGGCAGAAGTACCAGGAGAATGAGAAATGATAACAGTTAAAGCAATATTAATGCCTACAGAGCAGATGTCTAAAAATGGTCGTTACTCCCATGAGAAGCAGCACAATGGTGTGGACAAGAAGACTGCAAAGGACTGCTCACAAAATAAAAGAAAAAAGACAAAACCTGGAAAAAATTTTTGGATGAAGAAAAGTAAATCTTTTATTGGGGGGAGGGCCACAACCCACAGCATCAGAATTATAATTTTGCAGGTCACTTGTATTAGAGTTTGCTACAACAACAGAGTTATAATGTCAAGTAGGGAAACAATGAATGGAAATTTTCAGCTGGTAAAAAAAAAGTATTCTTTGTGGAGAAACGATTTTGAAACTTGCCCAAATTCTCCCATTGTTGAAGATAACAAGAAATGATCTGCATCCCTTGTTATTGGTCTAATGCATAGAAATGGCAACATTTGCTTTTCTTTTTTTCTTTTTCTATTTTAGTATTTAGTCTTCAGATACAACAAAATTGGATCAATCATAATTTTTGTTTCAGATACACTATCAATGGCCCAATTTTATTTACCTACTTAGATCTTTGATACATTATTAATAATGTACTAAGTACTCCCAATCCCACTGTCCACCTTAATGCTAGAAAGGCATTACTCTTGAACCCAGACCTTCTTGTGGGCTAGCCGAGTCAGCTGCCCTTAGAGACTTGATCAGTGTAAATAAGAATCTACTGGTTAATTGAGCCACTCAACTTCAGAGAGTTACAGGTAATGAAAGTCTAAAACGTTTAATTGAAAAACCCATACCATGATTATTTGTACAGTATCAGTTAACAAAGGTAAGTTTAACTTTTAATGATTTCAATTAAGTTATTTCTAGAAAAATTACAACATTTCCTTATCTGCTCCATCAGTTAGAAAATATGAATTCCAAGTGTGGCAATGTATAGTGAGGGAAAGACTTAATGGTTTATGTTAAATGGTTAATTAAGTTGAACTTTTTTACTTCAAATTTTGAGGGAACATTTATATACAGTTGATCAATCGTATCTGATACAATGCTAGTTCTGCCCACTTAAAAGGGAAAAGGAGTATTATATATTTGATATTATCAAATATATAAATTATCAATTATATAATTGATATATTATATATTTGACTATGTGATTCACCAAAACTTACCCATAAGCTAATATTTTTGGAGACTTAACAATTCCCATTTATGAAGATTTTCCATTATCTGGACAATGCCACCCCCAAAAACCAAGCACCAAACATTATCAATTCTCTCCTAAAACCCTGCAGTAAATCTTCGCCTCTGTACCAGCTGAAAGCTTTCTCCTCAACAGCAGCTTTGGCTACCATCATGAGTCACAATTTATAAATATCCAAAATTAAAGTCATTCATTTGCCTTGGTTTAGAAACCATGTGGATCCCCAAAGAGTTCTTTAAGCAAATGTAAGTATGTACTTCAAAAACAAAAAACAATCTAGTTAGTTTAATTTACTCTAGTAAATTAGATATTTTATCTGCCATAACTATAATACAGCCTGCAATCCCCACGATAATGAATACTTCTTTTGTTTTTTCAAATTAAGAGCTAAACATCATGTTATGTGCATTTAAACCTTTGGAAAACGTAACTGTTGATGAAACAGTTTACTGAAATAATCATTGTTGATTAGAATTTGTTCAACATTACCTCTTGGAAATATCTGCAGAGGCTCTATTAACTGTCCATTTACTTGCTGTTCCATTACTGTGGAATAATACTGCAAAGAGATTATAGAAAGAGATTACTCAGTAATGTATGAACACTGGAACAGACACTTATGGGTTGTTTAATTCATAGTACTTTTGTAAATTGCTGGTATACACATATCAGCCTCGAGAATACTTTTTCCTATTTGTACATAAAAATTACTATAATGATATATTCAGGATTGGAAGTCCAGTATAAGGTTATCCTCCACACTGTCATTTATCTTTAAAAGTAAAAATGTTGATTAAGATTTTAGTATTTAATCTCTAGAAATATTTTGAAAATGACATGTATTAAAAATGACACAAAGCTTTTTAGTGAAAATTTCTCAAATTGCCTCTGGTTCTTTTCTCTGGGTTTTGCAAAGCAAAATGAAAACACTTCACATTTAGCTTGGGCCTACCTGCCAGGTAATAGATCAAACATTATACATATTTGTGTATAAAATGTACAGATAATGGAAATCTAAATCATAGAGACTGTGGAATAAGCAAACAAGATATGATCCATCCAAAGATGACAGGATTAATATGATAAAAAGATAGGTCAGCTTTATTTTTTTTTTTAAGATTTTATTTATTTGACAGAGAGAGACACAGCAAGAAAGGGAACACAAGCAGGGGTAGTGGGAGAGGGAGAAGCAGGCTTCCCGCCGAGCAGGGAGCCCGACGCGGGGCTCGAACCCAGGACCCCGGGATCATGACCTGAGCTGAAGGCAGACGCCCAACGACTGAGCCACCCAGGCGCCCCAAGTTAGGTCAATTTTAAGCAAACATCTTTTATACTCCACTTTTACAAACACGTTAGTATAGAGCAAATTTCATTTTAAAATTCTGGGCACAAAAAATGAAGTTCCAAATGAAAAAGCTTTCATGCTCCTTCATAAACACAAATTCATTCACCAGGTTGTATTATGGTCTGATACCCATTTTTCCTTAATTTGCTAAGTGGTCCACCTAACCTGGAGATGGCTTCTGTGCCCTCACTTCTTTTAACACTTGACAAACAACAAAGTGATGCTCTTGGTGGAAAAATATCCATGATGAAAACCACCGATTTTGTGTTTTGAGGCATTGTCACATACAGAGCAGAAGTCTCCTTTAGTTCTTGCTATTTCTATATTTAAAACACACATATATTATGTAACTGCCACCTTTCTGGAAATTCTTCCTTGATAATCATTATTTGCTGACATTCCAAAAAAGTCTTTTTTTAGAAGATACATACATCTTCTAATGCCTTTATGCATATTAAAATTATTACAAAATCAAGGGTTTTTTTTGTTTGTTTGTTTTTAGAAATAAAGGGGAGCTATGTAATTCTACATCATCTTGGGAATCACAAATTAACAATCTAAGGCTCTTTGTCCTAAAAACAAATCAAGTGGATTTTTGATAGCTATGGACTGATACAAGTGTACCGCACTCTCCAAGGGCTTCCAAACTGTAAAGGAAACTGATCCTCTCTTTCTATGGATGTAGCCTATATACATACGGCATAAACATGGGTGACACACACTCTGGAATACATACTAAGCCGAATGTCTTTCAGGAGACTATATTCCTTAAAACCACAGAAATATACTGCTCGCCATTACTCAAACAGTGATGACAAGTAAATGAAATATCCATCATGTAGGCTGTCAACCTTTTGGGACAGCAATAACTGTTAACAAGTAGTCTGGAAAAATTGTCCGAAAATGACTTGTCCTCGGCACACAAGTATTTGAGGTTTCCATGGAAAATTAAGATGCCAGTGGCTATTTGGAACATTGCTCAGGTATTCTTTTTAATGGGAAATTTGCCGGTTATTGATCCACAGCATGTACCCCCTTGGTTCTGGAAGGCTGCAAGCAACTTTCCAATCAGTGGCTGTCAAAAAAATTACTGCCTTTTTATACTGATACAAGACAACAGCAGTGGTGGTGTTCTCCTCTAGTTAATGCTTTTCTTTAACTGCTATGTACAATAGGTTAGTCATTTCAGTTACTACTTCACTACAGTCCTAGAAATCAAAACAAATAAAATATCCCTATGTTTTATCTAACAAATTAATTATAGAGTTGTCTGAAACTGGTGCTTGGGGTCAAGTTTGAAAACAACCTCAAATGTAAAGGGTCAGCACAGGTGCAATGCATTTTTTCCTACTATAAAACCTTGCATGCATGAAATTGACCTGTTTTCCAACTTTATTTATTTACCTCACAAAATAAATAAATAAATGTGGTTTCCCTTTCATTTCAGATCTGTGCCAAATCAACTGGCAAACTATATCTGCTTTTATAATCATTGTACAATTTCTTTTTAGCCATCTATAACCATCTCTTTATGCTACCATTAACACGGTCACAGTAATGACATTAATTGTGCCACTTGCCAGTATCTCTAAAGCAAGCAGTTAGCATTTGTCTTTTGCTTTCTACAATTCTTCCAAATCCAAGGGACATTTTTTTTTCCTGCTGAAATACTGGGCTTGATCTCTGTTTGTATTACCAGAGAATCTTGTGATCCATACAGCAAAGGGTGGTAATTAATAAACCCATGGCTTGGGCCCACTCTAGGCAAGTGGCTCTGAGGAGCAGGCCGTGTGAGGGCCGGCTGGCTGCCAATGAGGCACCAGACCCAGGAGCTCAGGCTGCTGCATATGTAGCGCTCTCTGAGGAGTAAGGATACAGCGTGGGGCCACGCAACCTTCCTGGCACAGAGCAGTCCTGACAGGCCACAGGCCTGTGTCACCCAGTGAGACAAGCAAGGAACTTGGGGAGTTAGAGGAAGGACCCCAGTGTGGGGGCCCGAGTACTGGCCATTCCCCAGCACACAAGCTCAGCGAGGAACCACTGGCTGCCCCTCGGGTTACTCCTGTAAAATGAAGCTGCTACACAGCCAGAGGAGCACCAAGAGACTCATGGGAGGGACAGAAGCTAGCCCCGAAGCTGCAGAGCAAGCTGTTTCTAGATCCAGGTAGTCTCTCAGTCTTTTTAGAAATTCTCTCTTTAAAGAGAGTCTTTCCCATTTTGTCCTAAATAGTGATAAAATAAGCAATAATGACTTCCACTAGCCCAAAACAAACTGAAGAAAACAAACAAAAACCTCAATCTTGTACGCTAAGATACTTAACATGGCTTGGACAGAAAAGTGACGAAGTGACCATGATAAATTAATGGGGCCATAATTTGAAGCTATCCAAATAATTGTGCAAACGCAATCTCAATAATCCTATCCCAGCTTTTATTATCCCTAACATGGAGCCCTGCACATAGTAGGTGTTCAATAAATATTTACTGACTGAAATGGGGCCTAATTCTGATTCTGCTACCTATTACGTAGCCAGTCACTGAACTTCACCGAGCCCCAGTTTCCTCCAAATGAGAGTAAAGCTAGCTAGTCTATTACATAGGGTTGCCGTGAAATCAGCCTGCAGCAACAGTGTTTGTGAAGGCACTTTGTAAACTGTAATGCATTACTGGTGGTTGAGAAATTAAAAAGTGAACCTCCTACCACTAAAACAACAGCACTTTCTGAGTAGAAGTCTTCCCATATTTAAAAATACAAAAATCGTTAGGTATAAAAAATACAAAATATCGTGCTCTGACTGAATACATCAGCAGCAGTAATAAAATGTGTTTTCCGCTGGTATTCCTGGCAGAATCCGTTACATGCAGTAATTGCAGCAATAATCAATAAGCTAACTGAGTAAAAGATTAATCAGTTTTGTGATTGCTAATGGAATCTCCAGTACCAGACTCAGATTAGTTTCAGAGTCCCTCTGAGATGTTCTTCAAAATCCTTAAACAATTTTAATAAGGATGTGACAAAGTTTAGCACAGTTATCCAAAAATCTAATTAATTTGAAACAGAGGGCCAGATTCAACGAGGGGATAGCAAGTACAATTCTTGGCTTGTTTTGTTTGCAAGTTTATCAAACAGTGTTCCTATTTGTTATGAACCTAATTCTAATTCCAATAGCACAATTCAATCAGTAATTACATTTTTTTCTTCATGGAAATCTGCCATATAAAAAACTCGAGTTCTAAAACAGCACAGTTTAATTTTACAAGGTACAAGTTCTCTATTAAAAGAGAGAAAAAAGAGCGATACACACACACACACACAACTACTACTTACTACCTACTGTGTACTAGGCTCACTACTAGCTATTTATGTTTATTCACTTAATTTCTCACAATCCTATCCTATTCTGCATGTATAATTCACAGATGAAGCAGTTTATCAGTGAACCAAAAAAAAAAAAATACTTCTTTCATTCTAGTCCATGTACTCAGAACATAAAATATATATTTACTCCTTAAGAGTCAAAAGGTAAGTTATCTCTTATTTCTCAGACCTCAAAACATTTAAATAAACCAGGCCACTGGGCAGCCAGCTGGGCTGGTGGGAGTGTAGCTTCTTCAGCCAGACGCTGTGGGAGTTAGGCCATGTCGCTGATCTTTCACAGACTAGGGACGCATGGCACCGCACTGAGGGCTGACCTCCCCTCCTTCTTCAGCGCCCCGCTCTGGTTTCCCTCCTCCCTCCCTGACCACTCCATGCAGCTTCCTGTAAGTGGTTGTTTCCTCACCCCCTTCTTTAAATGTTGGAGCTCCCCATGGTTTTTCATCAACCTTCTCTTCTTATTTTATACTCTCCTTGAGTTAACTTCAGCCACTTCAAAGGTTTCAATTACCAGAGGAGTCACTGAGACTAATTAGGAGCTGATGAATCACAAATCTTTATTTCCAGCCCCGATTTCTCTCCTAAGATTCGGAACATACCCAACTGGTTGTCCAGAGGCCCCTCAAACTCAACAGGTCTCTACCTCTCTCACCCCTCCCTCATGCCCTAGACCCATCTTCCGCCACCTGGGCTCACTGTTTCAGTGAATGACATCGCAATGACCTGGTTTCCCAAGCCAGAGAGCTGGAAGGACGCCAAACCACTCCTTCCTTCTTTCCCACACTCAGTCAATCACCAGTTTTATTAACTCTACATTTTTCCAGCTTCTCAATTCCTT